TTGAAAACCTCACTAGACAATGTTGTAATATTGGCTTTTAATAGTCTGCATATCTTAAAGAGCTCAATAGGAAAAAATAATTTTATATTTCCCCAGATGTTTACCATTTCTTTTTTGTTCCTTTATTCCTAAAGATATGTTCCTCCCTAAAATTTCCATTTGATTCTTTTTAAACTAGCTTTTCTTTCACTGCTGATACCTTGTATCTTTCCATTCATTTCATTTGTGTTTACTTTTACCTCATGGAACATGGGGATAATAGCTGCTTTAAAGTCTTTGTGTGATAATTTCATATTTTTGTCATCTTGGAGTTGGCGTCTGTTGATTGAATTTTTTTTGAGAATTTTTCTTATTTGTATGAAAATTTTGGATTATATCCTGGATATTGTGAATTTCATATTGTGTGGGTTCTGTATGCTGTTGTAATCCTCTGCAGAATGCTGCTGTTTGTTTCAGCAGGTATCTAACCTGGTTAGGTTCAGACTACAAATTCTCTCTGCTGTCTGGGGAGGGGTTCCATTCTCGGTTCAGTTTCAGAGACTGTTGCCATGCTACTTTGGGCCTGTCCTGCATATCCACAGCTCAGGTGTGAGCCAGCGACTAGTGGGAGTTCATTCACAGAATTTCAGGTCCCCTCCTCAACTTTCTCCTCTCTGGTTTTCCCTGTACTATACAGCCCACAGGGGCCCATTTTGTTAGTTCCTTTAGGCGGAAAGGCTGAGTTTCTCCTAGGAGGTTTAGTCTCTGTTCCTCTGCCTCACTTCCTAGTTCCTTGCCTGGGCCATCCTTGGGGTAAAGTTGATAGAGAAAAGAGAAAAAAAAAGAGGGAAACCTTTGACTCCCCTCCATAACTTTCATACTTTGTTTACTTCTTATTGTCCTCAGGTTGTTGTATTTTTGTGTTTGGTCCAGCATTTTTAGTTTTAATGAGTGGGACAGAGAGGATGTAGTGGGCTTATGTAGCTGAACCAGAGCTCTGGTTTGTGACATTTTAAAGTCTTGGATATGCGATTTTTTTTTTTTAAAAACATCATGGCCCTTTACAAATTATTTTATTTTTTAAAAATATTGTATTGCATATAACAAATGTTTACAAAAGTAGGAACAAAACACCTTAAGCTAAGATGTCATGACCATGGTTTGTCTAGGTAGCATAGAACTGAATAGGAGATGTGATTGAATGGTTTTATCCAGTTGCTTCACCTACATGTTAGTACTTATATCTGGGATTCCCTACAAGCTGAGGAGAACCTAGTCGTGAATGGCATTTGAATGACCTGTGGTTAGAAGAAAGATATGTGAGAACATTGCAACTTCATCCTTAAACCAGCATTTGGCTATCGTGTTAGTAAATAAGCTTAAAAGATGCATCTCCATTCATACTTCTAAGTGATTTGGTTTTTATTAGATATTAATAGTTTCCTTACTAATATCCAGCTGAGACTAGTGACACTAAAGGAATAGTGGGAAGGAATTAGGGGAAGGAAGGAGAGAGGAAGTGGAGTCAGCAGTCAATTCGGTTGTCACTTAATAGATGTAAGATGAAGGGGAAGTAGAGATGGATGTTGGAAGGGCCAGGAGATAAATTTAGTCTAATGTTGATCATAGTGAGGTGAACGATTCACACAAGGTGGAAATTATTTTGTAAGTTCTAGGGTAGGATAGTAAACAGCAAGTAGTGTTAGGTACTTTGCCAGGAACTGATGACAACCAAGGAATACTCTGGACCATAAGAGTTATTATACTTCTGCCTAGCTGTGACCCTCTCACAAGAGCTGTAAAGTAAAATAAGGTATTAAATTATTGTGTCTATATTTATAAGTGAAAATGGTATGTATGTTTTCAGTATCATAGTTTAGTATTAAGATTATGCCGGCTTCATAAAATAAATTGGAGAGTGATCTTTGTGGAATGGTTTTGGTAACAGGTATTATTCCTTGAAAGTTAATTCAAACTCATCTCTAAAATCATTTTTTCTTGGTATTTTTTACTGTTATATCTTTACATTTCCAATTATTTCTGTGTTCTGTTAAAGTTTTATACCTTTTTACAAGATAATCTTGGAAATTTATAGGAAGGGAGAAGTGCATCCATTTCCTATAGATTTGCCAATTTATTGCATAGAATATAACATTTTCTTAAACAAAAAGTCTAAAGAAAATATTAGCAAACCAATTCTAGCTGTGTAATAAAAGTATAACATGCATATCTGAATTGCATTTATTATAGGATAATTTAATATTGGGAAATATATCACTATAATTTAAAATGTTAGTTCAAGGAGAAATACATATTCTCTCATTAGATGCTGAAAAATAAAGCTTCTGAAAAAAATTTAGCAGTCATTCCTTAATAAAAATGTTAAGTAAAATAGGAATAGAAAGAAACTACCTAAACATGTTAAAGACCATGTATCAAAATACAACAAACAGACCTATTAAAATATGAAATACCAAAACTATCGCTATGAAAATCAGAGACAATACAAAAATTACTGCTATCACATTGATTTTATATAATTAATTTTATTGGTTTTGGCTTATCTAATAATTCCAGTCTTTATTTCTAGAAGATATAGAAATCTTAAGAGACTCGTCTGAGAGACTAGTAACACCAATAAGAAAATGTGATAAATTAGCTGGGTACAAAGAAGAGAAATCAATAACTTTTTTTTGGTGGGGTGGCAATAAATAGTAAAGAATAGAAGTAAATGAACAGAACGTATTTTCATCTTAGATATATTAAAATTTGTTTTATTATGCTTTTAAAATTCAGAGTTTACCATTTTGGCAAAGCTCAATGAAAAGATACATGACATGTCAATTTCAAAAGACCTTTATGATGATTGAGATTAAATGCATTAAAAATTTTTGAAAAATTATCAAGCTTGGCTACATAATATACTGAGTGAAAAATGGTGGAGGAAGAGAATAGGAGCTGCAGTTTCTGAGGTGAATTGGCAATGAGAAATAGTCTGCTTCAAAACTGATTGACACACCTCCAGTTAAATATGGTACCTTGACCACACTTGTTTTCTCTTCTCCATTCCTAAAGTCTGCCATAATCACAAAGGAAGCATAAAAGATGTTAACTCATAAGAAAAAAAATAACAATAGAGAAGACAATGACAAAAGAAATTAACAATTTTTTGTGAAACAGAAAGTGAATGGAGGAGTGAGTGGTAACTGAGTTCACAGAGGAAGATACAACCTAAGTACCTACCCAGGTCAACAAACAGGAGATACAAGCTGGCTGGCCCCAGAGATATCTTGAGAGGCTTCCAGGTACTTGGAGGCTCCAGGTATTTCCAAAGGCAAAAGTCAGTTTTACAGCCCCAAATAGGAATTCTTTCAAAGTCTGTATCCAGATCTTTTGGATCTTCCTCTCCTAAACTCCAGGAGACAGGTGACTACTTCAGTCCCTTTCCTTCTGGGGAGATGGGAGGAGCACTAGAACCAGAGGTGCTTGCTCCAGACGAGAGGGGGGAGGCATGACACTGAAAATGAAGGGGTCATGGACAAATCTGCACACCGAAGTGTGGGATCTTACCTCCTTCTCCCTTCTGCACTCCTCCCCAAGCCAGCACCTAGGCGAGTTGTTCCCTCTCACCTCACCCAACATTTCTTTCTCTCTGGCAAAACTGAACAGCTTCAATGAAAAAACCTCCACATTCTGAACCTGGAGTTCTCCCAGTGAAAAGGCGTCTCAGTATACCTGATTGTCTCACAGAGAAGCCCATCAGCCTGCCATTTTTTAGTGCCTCACTCTTAAACATGAAGGAGCATCCAGGGATCACTGAATATGTAAGGAAAGCCTCAAAAGTCAAAGAGAGACACCAAACCAGTCCAGCAGCCAACAAACAAAAAGAAACTTGGGAGGAATCAAAAGATGCAAGAAACAGAAGAAAACTAAAATACAAAATAAACGAAAAATCAGAAGAAGTTGAAATGTGCCTGATGGGGATTTTTTGAGCATTAGATTTGTGTTTGGTGTTCTGGACAGACATTAGCATAATATGCATTGTTTATAGCCTTTCTCAAAATCTTTAAGCAACAGTTCAGACTGTTTTTCATAGGTGGAACACAGCCTGTGGAATTAGCTGCCTGCCTCAAGTTGCAACTTGTTCATTAAATGAGTGGTATTGCTCCAGTCACTTACCCTTTCTAATTCCCATTTTCTTCATCTGTAACATGGGGTGGTTATAACAGTAACCTATCTCATAGGGCTGTGATTGTGATTAAAAGAGATAAGACCTATCTAGTACCTTAAGTACCATATACTAAGTGCTCAGTGAAGAGAAGTGGTTATTATAACCATCAAGTAGATGGACTGGTATATATAGATGGTTAAGAAAAAGGTACAGTCGGCCCACCATATCCGTAGGTTCCTCCTCTATGGATTCAACCGACCATGACTGAAAATATTTGGGAAAAAAAAATTGCGTCTGTACTAAATGTACAGACTTTTTTCCTTGACATTATTCTCTAAACAATATAGTATAACAACTATTTACATAGCTTTTGCATTGTACCAGGTATTATAAGTAATCTAGAGATGATTTAAAGTATATAAGAGGATGTGTGTAGGTTATATGCAAATACTGTGCCATTTTATATCAGGGACTTGAGCATCCTCCGATTTTTATATCCATGGGAGGTCCTGGAACTGATCCTCTGGGATACCAAGGGACAACTGTATTTAAAAAGTAACATTTACAACATTGATGCTATAGTACGTAGGCTGTCATGACTCACTAAACTGAAAGCTTTTTGTTGCCAGTTTTTCATCAGCATTCTTCAGTGCCCATCATTGTATCTGGCACTAAAAACCATACAGAGAATGAATAAATGAATGAACCCATTAATTGTAACTTTTCACTTGTAGAGCTATACTCTAGCTCTAGTATTGGTCCTGTGGTAATTAAAGACAGCATGTTAGTGTGTTTATAAGTATACAGGAGTGAAGTTTTCATAAACTTAAATGTTGCATTTCAATTACAGGCATCAATTAGCAAGGTAAAAGTAACAGAACCATGGCTCAGTTTCCAACACCTTTTGGTGGTAAGTTTTCAGAAATTTCCCCTTTTCAATGTACTTTGGGACCAGATTTTTAAAACTTGGTATTATGGCAAATTGTAAATAAAAAAGTAGAGAGAGTGATACAATTAACTCTCATGTACTCCATCATATAGTTTCAATAATATCAACTCGTGGCCAATATTGTTTCCTCTGGATTCTTTTGAAGCACCTCCCAGCCATCTTATTTCATCCATAAATATTTTAATATGTGTATCTAAAAGATAAGAACACATTTAAAGACAACTACTATACCATTATCACACCTATAAAATTTCCAGTATATCTAGTCCATGTTAAAATTTCCCTGATGGTCTCTGGAAATTTTTTGTTATGGTTTGTTCAAATTGGATCTAAATAAGGGTCATACATTGCAAATAGTTCATGTGTCTCCTAAGTCTTCTCAGTATGAAGAACCCCCCGCCCACTTACTTTCTTTGCTATTTATCTGTTGAAGTGACAAGGTTGTTTATACTTTTTCAAAGCCCAGATTTGAAGCATGCCATTTTTGGTTTGTTTTACTTTAGTTTATCTGTTTGAAACATATCAGTCTGCATAAAATGTGTTTTTCAGGTAATTTTTCCTAACCTTACTAGGAAATTGTTAAATGTTCTTGCTTACTGGCCAAGTATTTTTTAACAAAAGAGAGCCTGGCATATTAACAGATTACTCTTGGCAGCTGTCTAATCTAGTTGTCATGAAGAGAATTAGGAGGCACAAAGCACTGTCCTCTGATCCTATCTGTAAAAGTCTGTGGGATTCCAGTACAGAGATCTGCAGTTTTCAGAATCATTAGTTATTCTGTTTTATTTTATGGGTTTTTTTTTTTTTTTGACCCCTTTCTTGATTCCTATACAAATTTTGGTTTTTGGTTTTCCTTTTGTTTATATTTCCAGGGATGAATTCTGGCAGGGCAATAAAAATCCTTTCTAGAAATTACAGGATTGTAAGGCCTGTGAGGGAAGGGGTCATGTCTGCCTCAGTGCCACTTTATCCCTATACTAAATACTTTTCTATATTTACTGTGACTGAGTGGATTCCCACTTTACCTGTCCATGTCACACCAGACCCCACAGAGAAGAGAGATACAATGTTGAGACATTTTGCTGTGTGCACACTTACATTTTGTGTGAAACATACATACTGTGTGTGTTCCCGCCTTTTTGGAAAGTGTCTGAACTTTTGAAAGCTTTTTGTGTATGTAATCTAGAATTATTTTAGTGAATTTGTTTGAGGAGACCTAGGACTAAAGGGAGGAAGATCTCAGTAGTGAGTGGACATTTGGCTAGTCTCAGAGCTGAAACTGAAGGAGAACCTCAGTCCCATGCTCTTCGGCCATTATTTTTTATCAGGACACCCATTTTTAAAAATAGCTTTAGTGAGGTATAATTTACATAGCATAGAATTTACCAGTTTCAATTGTACAATTCAGTGATTTTTAGTAAGTTTACAGACTTGTGCAACCATCACCACAACCTAGTATTTGTATATTTTTATCACCTCAGAAAGATTTTCATGGAGTCACACAGGATACTAATTGTGAGGCTCAGCTGCTTCTTTCATAACTTTCATCTGTGACATTTAAGGCAACTAGGAGTGCAATTTTAAGTTAATATTGACTTAGTCTTTTGCTTAGGTTTATGTAAGTAAATTATTAACTCATATGTCTCCATGTAATCCTGCTAACTATAGGATTGTAGGGCAAGTTTCTAAAAAAGGAATTTGTTCCTTTCTCCCTCTCTGTTTCTGTCTTTCTCTCTTTCTATTACTTTCTTTGTCATACTTTACTCTTAATTTCCTAACTTTATATGCATAATTTCCAAGGACAAACAGATGCTAATTTATCAAATGATTTATAACACATGGACAGAATCTTGAAGTGCTATAGAAATAGTGTGTGAGAGCACTTTGTTTTTCTTTTCTCACTGAGTAATTTGTCTTTTCTTTGGATTATAGGCAGCCTGGATATCTGGGCCATAACTGTAGAGGAAAGAGCGAAGCATGATCAGCAGTTCCATAGTTTAAAGCCAATATCTGGATTTATTACTGGTAATTGGAGTCAGTATTTTTATGTTTTTACTTATCATTAGTGCATATACCTGTGGAAAATCTATTACACAAAGCTAAGGTGGGCACATACCACCAAGGGAACATTTTACCTATTTTGCCTTAACTTTGAGCCTGTATTTTTACAATTGCTTTTCATGTGATACATTCATACCTAGTTTGCAATCCTCAGGGCATGTCAAGCCACTTGTTTTGGGCATATTATTGATGGGAGTTGATTAAGATCAAAGGACCACATTCTTTAGGTAATGTAGGATTAGACCGTGACCCTTCAGCTAAAATACTTGCTTAATTCTGATCTTGAACTGATTTGAGAAACTGTTCAGTAAATTAACAGATTCTGAGCACTTAAAAAAAAGGATTATTTTCCTTGCTGTCTCCCTAAAGTCCTTTTTGTACTCTGCCTTTTTTTTTCTCTGAAATAGAGTCTCGCTCTGTTGCCCGGGCTAGAGTGTCGTGGCATCAGCCTAGCTCACAGCAACCTCAAACTCCTGGGCTCAAGCAGTCCTCCTGCCTCAGCCTCCCAAGTAGCTGGGACTACAGGCATGCGCCACCATGCCCGGCTAATTTTTTCTATTTTTAGTAGAGACAGGGTCTCCTTCTTGCTCAGACTGGTCTTGAACTCCTGACCTCAAGTGATCCTCCTGCCTTGGCCTTCTAGAGTGTGTATTTTGCCTTTTTAATTATTTCCCGTTCGATCACTCTTCAGGAATTCACTTTAGAAAAAATGAGATTTAGATTTCGTAGGGAATTACTTTTGCATGTGTTTGTGTCATAGTTCTCTTTACTTTATTAATTCTTTATCATTGATATGATTCTTTTAAAATCATTGTTAATTATTCTCCGTAAATATATCAGAAGGGCCCAGAATTTGGAGTAAAAGTATTGGGAATGGCAAAGAACTTTTTTTTTTTAAATAAAGGAGAAGTGTGGGTCATCAGTTTCCTGAGGATTCTTGTAAATGTGCTGTGGCATAATGGGTAGCCATTAACTTCTTAGTTAATAGCAAATTAATTAAAGTGGGCAATCCATCCCAGCAAATGGTTGGCCTCTTTTGAGATGATTTTTAAAAGTGTTATGTTCTAAAGTCAGTGCTGATGGATTCATTTTACTATTGCTTGTAGGCTTACCATTTGATTTTTGTTATTTATTCAATTTGGTATTTATAGGATTACCAGTCTCTTTCTTAATTTTATAATTTTGCTATAAGAAGAATTCTGTCAGCTGTTGTTTTTTTCTGAAACTTTTTCCATTTAATTTACAGGTGATCAAGCTAGAAACTTTTTTTTTCAATCCGGGTTACCTCAACCTGTTTTAGCACAGATATGGTAAGTTGGAATTTTATATAAGCAGAAGGTAAAATTAAATATTAGCCAGTTCTATTTGGTAATGTGATTTCTTATACTACAGAAGAAGAATATATATCTCTAGCCTGAAATACTCTATTGCTTCTTACCAGAGAAATACTTCTGAAAAATGCCTTTCTAATATGGAACTAAAAAAAAAAAAGAGTAGTGCCATTTGAATGATAGAACTCTGTCAAAGTTGAATTTGAATTTCCAGTTAAGACATTTAAATTTTGGTATTTTCTCACCAGTTTGTTTTGGTGTCATCCACATCACCCATATTCATTTGAATGTCCGTATTTCTTGCTTTATAATGAAATGGTTCTTTATCTTTCATTGACTGAAAAATAAAAGGAAAAGAAAATATTTGAAAGTTAGTGCATGGTGAATGCATAATAGATATTGCTGAAGTCATCGTCAGAAATAGGTGTCAATATTTTGAAGCCACAGGAAAGAAAGAGTAAAAATACAGTTTTGGATTCTAGGATCATGGCTTTGGGGGAGTCATGGTGAATTCTCCTGTCCTGTAAGAAGCATTTTCTCACAAAGTATGCTTAATACTTCATTCATTTCCCTGAATTTATTAGTGTTATGTAGGCATCTTGCTATAATGAAAAGAGCACATACCTCAGTTTGAATCCCATCACCGCTTTCTTTCTTTCTTTTTTTTTTTTTTTTTTTTGGGACAGTGTCTTGCTTTGTCATCCAGGCTGGAGTGCAGTGGCCTGATCATAGCTCACTGTAACCTTGAATTCCTGGACTCAAGTGATCCTCCTGCCTCAACCTCCCAAAGTACTGGGATTACAGGCGTGAGCCATCATACTCTGGCCACCAGCACCACTTTCTTTCTCTCTCATTTGGAACATACATTTACCCTCTTAGACCTTAGTTCTCTAGAAGATGGGAATGCTTGTAGTTTCATTACAGAGTAGTTGAGAGGATTCAGAGAAAAACTATACATAAATGAATTAGTATGGGACCTGGCACACAATAGGCCCTCAAAATGAAACCCAAAAATGGTAGCTGCTATTATCTGCAGGGGCTGGGTATTCCACATAACTTGTCTTCTTAAATGACCAACCTCTTTTATTTATATTAGGTCATTAAATATGAAATGTCATCTGATTTCAAATCAAAAGTATAGTTTATTATATCACAAACAAGAAGCAGTACAATTAATCAAAGTATGCGCCTAAATTATTGACACAGTTTTGCCATCTTAATAATAGCTTATTTATGCCAGCAGCGAAGAAGCCTGGAGAGTGAGTGGCGACGAAATCGAGAAAGGCATTTTCCACAGCTTGTTGAGAATTGAATATTTTTCCTTGCAAGAATTGGTCCAAAGTCTGGAAGAAGTGGCAGTCAGTTGTTGCAAGGTCTGGTGACTACTGTGGTTGACAGAGAGTTTCTAAGTCGAGCTGCTGTAGTTTGAACAGAATTGTTTGTGCAACATGTGGTCTTGCAAGCGGATTGGCCTGTCTCTATTGACCAATCTCGGCTGCTTAATTGCAGGCTTCCTCATCATTTCATTTAATTGGCTGCAGTAGACATCCGCTGTAATTGAATCACCAGGTTTCATGAAGCTATAGTGGATAATACCGGTGCTGGACCACTGAATGGACACCATTAGCTTTTGTTGATGATTATTCAGCTTTGGACTATGTTTCAGCACTTCCATCTTTATCCAACCATTGTGTCGAACACTTAACGATTGTCAAAAGGAATCCATTTTTCATCACACATCACAATACAGTGTAGAAATGGTTTGCCTTTATGTCATAACAGCAAAGAAAGGCAAGCTTGGAGACGATTTGTCTTCTGACGCTCGTTTAAGTCATGAGAAATCAATTTATCCAGCTTCTTTACCTTGCCCATTTGTTTCAAATGGTCCAATATTGTTGGATTAGTAACATCAAACCTTGCTGCTAATTCATGCATAGGTTGAGATGGATTCACTTCCACTACAGCTTTCAGCTCAGCGTTATCCACCTTGGTTTCTGGTCGCCCACATGGCTCATTTTCTTTTCTTTTTTTTGAGACAAAGTCTTCCTCTGTTGCCCGGGCTAGAGTGCCGTGGCATCAGCCTAGCTCACAGCAATCTCAAACTCCTGGGCTCAAGCGATCCTTCTGCCTCAGCCTCCCAAGTAGCTGGGACTACAGGCATGTGCCACCATGCCCGGCTAATTTTTTATATATATATTTGTAGTTGTCCAGAACATTTCTTTCTATTTTTTTAGTAGAGACAGGGGTCTCGCTCTTGCTCAGGCTGGTCTCGAACTCCTGACCTTGAGCTATCTGCCCGCCTCGGCCTCCCAGAGTGCTAGGATTACAGGTGTGAGCCACCGTGCCCGGCCCCACATGGCTCATTTTCAAGATTAAAGTCACTGGAACAGGACTTCTCAAACCATCTACGTACTGTGTGTTCATTAGCCACATCCTTCCCAAACACTTCATTGATGTTTTGAGCTGTCTGCACAGCATTGGTTCCACAACAGGACTCACATTCAAAGATAACATGAATTTTTGACTTATCCATGGTTTCACAAAAATTGTTCCAGAAAAAATTGAGACAGAATCACAAGCCAAATTGTGCATTTGAAAGACAGGATGTACCTTCACAATAAAAATAAAACAAGAATTGTCAAAATGAAATGTTAGAAATATCAATTGTCAAACTTAGTACTTAAGGAAATCAGACATTTCATACTTAACAACCTAATTTTGTGGAAATTAATAAAGATCAACATAGCTTATCGTTATTTTCAAGGAGACTGTATAGAACACAATCTAAGCTTTTCTGGATTGTATTATCATTATGGAAAATTAATGACTGTGTTCTGAAATAGCAAAACTTTCTTGGGATGTGTGTGTGTGTGTGTGTGTGTGTGTGTTTGGATATATTTGAATTGAAACAGAATGATACCAGATTCCTGTGCTTTTTTGGGTGTCTGCTTTATTTTCTTTTTCCTGGTTGTCAGCATATTGGCTGCCAGAGTGTATCTTTCAACTAGTGAACTTGCTTCTATGAAGCCATTCCAGTTCTAACTTCTGATCCACTAGAGCTTGAAAAGTCAGATAACCAAGTGGTACTGGAATTACTTTTAAAATAAAGTAATAGGCTCAGAGGAAAAAAAAAAAGCACGTGAGCAAGAAATCATGCACATGTGAGCACAGGAGCACTGTTGGAAGAGACCTGTGCACCTGTTTTAGCAAGCTTCTTTTACTCTGAATCCTGATACATGATTGGTTTTATACCATCATCAAGACCTCTCACTAGAACCTTCTTTCCCAGAGTTAAACTTTCTCCACTGAATTGTGCTTTTATATTGTATTCCCAATTTTTGAAGGTTTATTTCAGAAGCAGTCTTATGATGACTACTCTGCTGCAGTAAAACCTCACCCCACATTTATTCATTCAACCTTGAAAAAATATTTATCTGATGTCTACTATGGGCCAGTAACTTTTGTCATTGCTGGGGATACAGCAATGGAGAAAACAGACAAAATCAGCGCTTTCGCTGACATTACAGTCCAGTCGAAGGAGACAGTTAATAACAGCATAAAAATTGTCATGGTAATAAATATTATGGAGAAAAGTAAAGTGTTATCTAATGAATTTCATTTTTTTTCCATTAAGACAGTTTTCCAAACTTTTACCTGAATGGCCCAAAGTCATTTTTGCTAATTTATTATTTTTATTGTGAAAATTTTTGTTAACACTAAAAATGGTGAATTGGCAGTCTTAGGTTGAATCAGAAGTTTTCTTTGTCTTGAATTTTTTTCTAACCTTTTACTAAATACATTTTGTGATTGCATATTTTACTTTTATCAAGGAATTCTATTATAAAAATACAAAAATAAAAAAACTCCTATAAGTATCTTTTCCCAGAAGAAATTTCTTTGAAGAGTCATTTGGAATTTTATGAACCACAGATGCCCCGCTCAGATAATGGAATAATTTAGTACAAAGTATGAGCAAGCTTTTTCAGCCTGGCTTTGATACTGATTCACATAGTAACCCTGGGCAATACTTGGCCTCTTCAAGACTGGGTTTTTAAAATTACAAGTAATAACAGCTGATCTAACTAAACGGTTTCCTCTCCTCTCTCGTACCAAACTTGTATTCTTATATGGTTTTCCTGGTAAGTTCCCAGGGTAGGCCCTTGCTCCTTTTGGTAGAGAGAAGAATGGGTTTGATTCTGAAATTTTATATATCCTGTTATGTATGTTTTATGTACCTATGTCAGTCATCTGGGGAAGAAGAGAGTCTTGGATTGAGAATTGGGAACTGTTTCGACTCTCTCTCTCACTCTTTCTGCCTTACTTTCTTTGTTCTGGACTTCGTTTCAAATATGAGTGATATGGACTGATGGAGAGTGTATGGTAGAAACCTTTATAATGTTTCATTCCCATGTAGAAACTATATTCCATTTAACCAATTTAAGAACTTTGAACTGTAACCTGTTAATACTTTGGGGACTACTTGCCTCTCCAATCTGATTTCCACTTAAGGATACAAGAAAACCCTAGTCCTCAGAGGGTTGATTCAAGTCATTGTTTACAATGCCAAATTATAACAGTGGCCAAAGATGATACATCTCCTTAGAAATTATCTTACTAATAAGGAACTGGAAGGAAACTGGCAAGCAGCCTTTTGGCAATTGAAGTGCTTTAAATTGTTTCATCCTTGCCCTAGAGGGGGAGAAGGAGGAAGCAGAGGGTAGACAAGAACCAGAAGGTACAGGGAAGAAAAAGGGGCCAAGAGGCTGGATGAGGACTTTGGACTCCGAGGCAGAAGGGCCCACAGAAATGGAGAGAAGTGAGGGGCAGGGTGGGAGCACCACCTGGAAATGGGCCTTCCGAAAAAAGAAGGGAGCCAGAGACCTAAAGGCAAAGATTAGAACAGCTTGGTGATCTGGTTCAAAGATGGGGACGTGATAGGGCAAATAGCCATGTAACTTATACTATCTTAGGACACTTCT